ATAAAATGAATAGTGCCAAAAGAAACTGTGGTCCATGTGCTTATGTTTTCATTCTGAGTTAAGCTGTTGGAATAACAGCGTTAGTTCAGTTATTTTAGGTTCCATTTAGGAGAATCCTCACAATGAATCCATGGTAACAGAAAGAGTTTGTGGGAATGCAGGGATAAATTCTACATTTAAGCCATAAGAACAGTACTAGCAAGTAAAAAACAAATAGAAAACTCCAAATCTCAATCTCTGATTGGGGAGTGGGTTACAGGTATAATAGGAAAAGACAAAAGAAAAGTACACCTAATAATCTACATGCAATACCATAATAATCCAACTCATCATCACAAATGACAACCTCATAAAGTTTGCTAGTGCTTGCCAATAATAACCTCATAAAGTTTGCATCATATAATAAAATGTATTAAAAATTACATTATATTAGAGCATGTCAAGTGAAATATACAGTTTATTTTCCAAAGTATTTGATGGTGTGTGAAAAACTCCAACACGCATAATTACAAATTATCTTCAATTTTTTTGTAGTACCTTTTTTTCACAAACTTCTACTATTTCCTGTGTCCTATATAAAAAAAATTTAAGCTGAAAAATAACTTCAAGACTTTACACAAAATTGCAAAAGAGAGTTGAAAAGACATAAGCTTTTAAAATGATATGTCTATGCCCTCATGATCTGGTGTCTTGTAACCAAATCCAGATTCATCACTTGGTCTCCTCTTAACCACACTTGCTCTTTGCACTAACCGGACCAATGCTTGCACCACCTCAGACATTGGAGGTCGAAATTCCGGTTCCGGCTGTACAAAAAAAATTCGAGTTTTTTATTTTGAAGACACATTAATACAAGTTTATACCAAAGATATTGTTTAAAACTGCAAATTATAAGTCTCGGTAAACCAGATCGTTAAACCAGATCAGTTGGTAGATGTGTTGTGCTGATACATTAGATTATTCACCTTTTAAGGAGTGAAATTCTGTCATTCAGCTACTAGACCAAGAAAAAACTGTAAATTATGAATTTATGATCATTTAAAAATTTTGGATATTTAGAAATAATACTTTACTTTAGGGTAGGTGGGGTAGTTTTTGAAATATGATGATCATGTGCATAATGCATTAGAAGAAGAAAAAAGGCCTAATTAGATGGGAAGGTGGGCCTGTTTGTAACATTGATGTTTGTTCTGATAATGTATCATTTGAAAAGTTTTACCTGAACACATAGGGCAATAATATCGGCGAAGCGTGAAAGAGATTTTGCAGGATACATGCCATTCAAACAAGAATCAACCATTTTTGACAAGGCGTCGATATCATGGAGTTGCGGTGTAGCCCACCTCACAAGGGACTGTTCAGCTCTAGGTCTTGAACTAAAATCGACAAAATTTGCAAATGGATGTAAGAAGCCATATATAAAAGAAAGATTATATAATCAAAGGCAAACAAGAAAGTAATCGGCTTGCAGCTTAATATCGACCGTGTATTATGATACACTCACCTGTCAAGTGGCTTCCGGCCAGTTAAAAGTTCAAGCATAACCACGCCAAAACTGTAAACATCGCTTTTTACGGTGTATACTCCTGATAGTGCAAATTCAGGAGCGCTATAACCGAATGAACCAACCATATGAGTTGATGATACCTGTTAAACTCAAAGTAAATTACTTTGTTTATGTAGTGTGTTAAGAAAAGATATACTAATATAATGTACAGAAATGCATGAAAGAAAATGAAACATATTTCACCGACCTGTCGCTCGGTGTTTGGTGTCAGAGCAGCTAAGCCACAGTCAGAAAGGTGAGGATTGAGCTCTTCGTCGAGTAATATATTTGCTGATTTGAAATTTCTATGTACAACTGAAGGCAAGCAAACTTCGTGCAAGTACCTGATAAACAAAGCATATAAGTGTTTATCTTATAATTGCTTATGTATTTGCTATTGGATATGTTACGTACTCTAAGGCCCGGGCTGTGCCAAGAGCTATGCGCACACGGGCATTCCAAGGTAAAGCTTTACTGCTATCTTCAGCAAAATGGAGCATGTCATGCAGATTTCCATTTCCAATATGTTCATAAATTAGAAGTCGTTGGCCATGTTCTGCACAGTATCCAGCCAGTGTAACAACGTTTGGATGCCGCAGGCGAGACATATTTGAAATAGCTTCGAGAAAATTATCTTCCTCTTGTAAGGACAGTGCCGCGTTGTCAATCTTCTTAACGGCCATTATCTAAACAAAAGAAAAACTCAGAACTATTAGAATATTTTTCCATACATAACGAGTAGATTCTGAAACTAATAGTATGAATGTGATAACGAATGCAAAATTAAAACGTTACCTTCCCATTTGGGAATTCAGCCCTGTAAACTCGACCGAGAGAACCTTCGCCGATAATAAATTCTTGACTGAAGCTATTTGTTGCACTCTGGAGGGAAGCAACCGTGTACGACGTGGAAGTTATCGGAGACCTCATTTGCCTTACGGATCCACTTTTTACAGGCATTCTATCCATTGTCACATTTTCTGACGGAGGACGAGGTTTGAGATCTGTAAACACAGAAGCACTTTTCACCCTCTGCTCCTGCATCTGAGGAGTTACTGCTCTTGGACAAAGAAATTAAATTACATATTCATATAACATATTTAGAATCAATAAGCTAAAGAGTGGTAATTTACCGTCAACAATTCCTGGAGGAAGGCTCCCATTAGAAGTTCTTGGACCTTTTTCCTTCTCTTTTAGTTTTCGGATACAGAAAACAAGAGCAACTAGCAGAATAGAACATACCAACACTGAGCCTAAAACAATTCCTACAATGGCTCCCACTGATGCTCCTTTATGGTCATCTGAATTAGAACCATGTGTTTTAGTTTGTGAACCAGACCCGGAGTGATGATTACTTTTATGAGGTTCACTAGGTGAGGGCGAAGTAGATTCTGGTGAAGTTGATTCTGGCGAAGGAGGTGCAGGGCCGTCATCAAAGGAATTTCCATCATATCTAGTTTATAATTCGAAGAGTCACATTTAACCATACTATGCAATGTAAAAAAAGATCAACGTTTCGAGAAAAAAAAACTCATACTTACATGAAATTATTGATAGATTTAAGCTCGTGAGGTATCCACCCACCGAAATTATTGTTTGCAACATTTCTGAAAAAAATTGTAGAGCAAGATAGTAAGTGTCGGACATGCAGAGAATTCGAGACCAAAGTAGGTAGCTAGGTCAATGAGCTATACAATACCGAAGGAGTTTTAAGCAGAAGGTCTAGGGTTCAAACATTGGGAACTAACTTACTAACAATCAAAGGAATAACTTACAAAGTATCTAAAGGCAAACCAGCAAGAACGGTGAGAGAGCCGGTCAATTGGTTGTTCTGCAAGAAACTGCAAAAGTTTTGAAAAGCATTAAATTGACATTTACTGAATTTCTACAAGTTCATCGAATAAAATATCATCGGACTCACAGAGAAGAGAGATTTGTCAGTGACTCAAATGAAGGTGGAAGATCCCCGGAAAAGTTATTGAACGATAGATCCCTGCGTCATTGAAAATGAATGCAAACAATTCATCAAATAGAATCAATTGTAAAGCATTACATATTTCACTAGTTCCAGAGACTACTGTCAACAGAGTCGACAGAATAATACATATTCGGTACGAAATACAAAACCGTACAATATGAACTTTTTTCTTAGTTGGAGTATTACGAAAACGAAATAAATGAGTGGAAATGAACTACGGAAACGGTAAGAAATCGTACACGGTATCAAGACGGGAATGATTAGCAAAAAAGTCGCCGATAGGCAGGGACAGTGCGTTATGGCTCATATTCCTGAAAACAATATATAAATGGTATAAGATTGACTCCATTGTATGATCAAACCTAACATTCTAAAGTAAAATTGTAGATATCAAACAGTAACTTACAGACAAGTGAGTAAAACCATGGCAGAAAAGGAATAAGGAAGATTTCCAGTTAAGTTATTTCCTGCTAGATTTCTGATTGACGCAATCGAAGAGTAAATTAACATTTCAGATAACGCCGCAAAATGAAATTGATCATGAAACAAAAACATCAAGAAATTGTAGGTGAATAGTATTATTACATACAGGCTTGTAAGATTTGGTGGCAACTGATAGGGAATTGTATCATGGATCTTGTTATCACTCAAGTCACTATAAAGTTTAAAAAATAAACACAAATATAGAAATAAAAATAACCAATCAGAAACATAATAAATGAATAAATAGTAAAATTTATGAACAAGACAAACTCAAGGTTTAGAATCATCTCACAGCTTTTTCAGTGACTTAAGGTCTGAAAGCAAATATCCAAGAGTTCCATGGAGTCCTAAACCAGAGAGATCACTAACCACCAAAACAACAAAGAAGTTAATTTCTTCAACCATCAAAACACATTTTAGCAACAATTTCATCATTAAGAATGCCATACATTGAATCAACAGATGAACCGTCACAAGTAATCCCTTCCCATGAATCTCCACATGGATCGCCGCCACCAATTTTCCAACCCGTTAATTCAGTTGGATTATTCAACGCATTGTACATAACCTCAAGAGCTTGAACTGTAAAGAAAAACAACAATACAAAATCAAAACCCTCAAAATTCAATACTGTTCTCACATCAATATTAACTTAAAAATCACTTCTTTTTTCTTTTATTCAATGCATTCAGGAAAATTAAACTGGAACAAGTAAAAGGGTCATTTAAGAATGAATTTAAAGAACAACCCACAATGCAAAATCAAAACTTTTTCATCAAACACCAATCAAATCAATGAACATTAACACAAATAGAGAATGATCACAACAACAAAAAAGTATATAAAAGTATAGAAATGAAGAAAAGGGAATATAATACCATCAGAAGGGTCAGTATTGGCAAATGAAAGAGGAAGAGAAGAAGAAAGGATGAAAGAGAAGAAAGCTAGAAAGACAAAAAGGGTATAAGACATTGTAGTTAGTTGTTGGAGAAGTCAAAAGTGTGATTCAGGTAAGGAAGAAGAGTACATGCAAGAGAAACATGGAGGAATAAGAGAGGACAAAGAAGATGAAGAGGAAGAAGAGGAGTAGTTGGGTTTGAGATGGTGACTGGTTGTAGAATGGAAAGCCATTAAAGAAAGAGACAGATAGAGATTCGAAGCTTGGAGTAATGAAGAGAGAGAGAGAATGAAATTAAAAAGGAGCAAGCAAGCAGAATAGTGTGTGCATTGTGTGTTGAGTGTGGTGGTGTGTCTGTGTCGGCGAAAATATGTATAAAAAATTTGTAGTAAAATGTAAATACACACGACATGAGTATAGTCATATGTTCTACGTTGTTGTTCTAACCGACCATAACATTAAATCGGATCAATTAGTTACTAATGTTTTGACCTTGAATATGGAAGGTATATTACCAAGATCTCATTAGTTCCGAGAAAAATTACCTTAACTAAATATATGTTAGTTCATTTCATGTTGACTAAACATAAATTACTAGTCATATTTGAAATGAGAAATTGTGTTGGGGATTGTTCATAGGCAACCTTGTTCTTGCAATGTTAATTTGTTAATTGAATTAGAAGGAAAAAAAGAATAGTTGGGTTAGGTGGTTATTGACTTAGTGATTAGTGTATGGTGAAAAATAATAAAAATAAAAGTAATATAAAATAGTAGCATTGGGCATCAATTATTACATGAGAAAGAAAATCATAAGTTGAAAAACTATTCCTTAATAAATGAGACACGTAAAGCATTAGTTGGAAGAGTTGAAAAAGTTTCTAGAGGAGGATTGTGAGTTTTAATTTGAGGCTCGGAACTATTGGCATCTATTTTTACCAAGAAATTGGTATAAATGTTCTCTCAAGAATATGTTGGAGAAAAGATATTTAATTTTGTTTACTAATTTCAATTCATATCCCAATAACATGAGCGTCATTTTTCACTAACCAAATTACTTGTAAAGAATTAAAATAATAGATAAGATAGTTGAATCTCATTTCTAAATATAGATATAGACACTAAAGAATAAATAAAATATATAAACTTCTTTTTTAAACATAGAAACATAATATATTTCAATGTCGTTTCTAAATATAGATATAGAAATTAAATTAAATTTCAATAAATAAAAATACAGTTTACTATTCGCTTGCCGTCTATTTTTGTATTAATTTAATTTTTATTATTAATCAAAAAATTACAATATTATAATAGGATACTTTGATCAGGAAAAAAAAATAGAGATATTAGACCAATTAACATTTTAATAAAGGGTTAATATCTATTTTCAGTGAACGTTTCTTACCCACTAAACCAATGCATTTTCTTTGTTACATATATGCATCAATAAATATTCATATCATTAACATATTAATTACAATTATCAATAAATTTTCTTAACTAGTTGGTTTAAATAATTTTTTTAAAAATGTTTTACATATTTTATCTTTTTACTGTAACTTTTTTTAAATTTTAAATTTTCAAAAATCACTTAAATTTAAAATAATCAGTTAAATTTTCAAAAATTACTTAAATTTAAAAAAACCACTTAAATTTTCAAAACTAAGTGATTTTCAAAACTAAGTGATTTTTGAAAATTTAAGTGATTTTAAATTTAAGTGATTTAAATTTAAGTGATTTTTGAAAATTTAAGTGATTTTTTTAAATTTAAGTGATTTTTGAAAATTTAAGTAATTTTTTTAAATTTAACTTATTTTTTAAAATTTAAGTGATTTTTTTAAATTTAAGTGATTTTTGAAAATTTAAGTGATTTTAAATTTAAGTGATTTAAATTTAAGTGATTTTTAAAAATTTAAGTGATTTTTTTAAATTTAAGTGATTTTTGAAAATTTAAGTGATTTTAAATTTAAGTGATTTAAATTTAAGTGATTTTTGAAAATTTAAGTAATTTTTTTAAATTTAAGTGATTTTTGAAAATTTAAGTGATTTTTGAAAATTTAAGTGATTTTTGAAAATTTAAGTGATTTTTGAAAATTTAAAATTTAAAAAAAGTTACAGTAAAAAGATAAAATATGTAAAACATTTTTTTAAAAATTATTTAAACCAACTAGTTAAAAAAATTTATTGATAATTGTAATTAATATGTTAATGATATGAATATTTATTGATGCATATATGTAACAAAGAAAATGCATTGGTCTAGTAGTAAGAAGCGTTCACTGCAAACAGTATGTCTATGGTTTGATTCCTGCTGAAGGACAAAAAAATTTTAACTTTGAATTAACACTCAATTAATAAAATATTAATATAAATGTCATATGAAATTAAAAATTAAAAATTAATTAAAAATGACAACTAATCAAGTCATGTCATTAAAATAATAATAAAAATATAACAAAAATATAAGTCACATCAGCCTTTAAAATTTGTAAGGTAACAATTGGAACTTTTTTTTTGGCAGGGGTTTTTCAAATACACCTCATATGTCAGGGGTGAAAATATGTATTAACCCTTTAATAAAACATCAAATATAAAGCTTATATTACTACTAAATTCAATTAAATTTAAATTTATTATATACATTTATTTGGGAGTGGATCCTCTTCAATTAATAGAGGATCCAGTAAAATTATGGCCATCGAAAAATAAAAGATAAGAATATTGATAACGAGAAATTATATTATATATTTAAGTTTATTGTGCGTACTAATTGTTTGCATTTTATATTGTTTTGCATTTGTTATGATCATCTGTCGCGAATTCAGAAGTAAATCAGAGAAGGAGCGGAAATAGAGTTAAGTGCAGCAGAAAAGCTAAAATATGCAATTCTGCTTGATATGGTATTTGCCATAGAGAGATGACGTCCGTCATTTTCACATGTCACGTATTTTAATGAATTGAGGCAATGACATTCGCCATTGCCCTAATGGCACTCGCCATTCAGTAGCAGGGACGATTTTTGCTGAAAAGAGCATTTACTAGCAGTTTTGTGATTCAAATTTTTCCCTTCAATCTGAAGCACGACTAGAGGCAGTTCCAGGGCCTTGTTTCTCTATAAATAGATCCTCAAAGTCGGTTTTCGGGCATCCAAGTTCATGTGGAAGCTCTGTCAAAATAGTTTTAGGCATAAATCACTTGTAAAAGTGGCAATAACTCGCATCGAGGGATTGTCACACCCGTTTTATTTTCATCTGTATTGTACTCTTGGATCGAAAACAAGCTTGTCGTTATTTTCTTAATCAATTCAAATCTCGTTTCTTTAATTTCAGGTTTAACATTGTTTATTTACTTATACTTTCTATTGTTGTTATTATATTGCATAGTATGTTAATCTTACGCACTGTTACCCTGAGCATGTTAATTTCAATTATAGTTATGTCTTGGTAAATTTATTTGAGGTCGGTGTATGAGGACTGTAGTAACCGGTGGGACTCAGTAGAAAACCTTAAGCGTGAATCTATGAATAAATGATTGTTTTGGTTTTAGTTTCCAAATCGCGTGTTTATTATTCCGACACGAGAGTGAGGAATAAACTAAGGTTCAATCCGATGGCGCAAGAGTGTGAGGAATGAATTGGATAATGGAAACTAATCGTCGATCCTAAAAACAGCGAGAGCGCTTTAGGTATTGTTTAGAATTTTATTGACTTCTTAAATATGTTTTCTAATTAACGGGCGAGCGAGAGCATGTCCTGTGGTTAGTAAGTGTGGCCCTTGTCGATAGCGCGAGAGTGTGAGACAGAGTCTTTAAGTCGATACTTTCTACGGAATTAATTTATATTTGTAATTAGCATCTATATTCTACTAATCTCATAGACACGCAGAATCCATACTCTGGACTCTCCTTGTTATTATTTTTAAACCTTAAGTATTTTATTCACTACCCTCGTTCTAAACATTTTAATCCCTTTAGCCTTAGTTATGCACCGCAACATCAATAACATTAGCTTGATTATTAGTCTTTGTGGGCTCGATATTCTTTTAAAACTACGTGATAGATTGTATATTTACAATAAATATCCGACAAATATATAAAGTCGCGATCAAATATCAAAACTTTAAAAATAAGATTAAAGGGTTTGGATTCATCGCATAAAGGAACATGAGAAAAATTCATAGGAGATAATACATTTCCCATTTATCTATATTGAGGATCACTAATATGAATACTTGTTTATAAGAAACTTCACGAAAAATTTTAAGAGCATGTAGCCCCAAAATATTATCAAAAACATTCTGAATTATGTGAAATTGTTGGGTCATCATGAGTGAGAAATATTTATATTGGATCAAACACTCACTTAAAGCTCAAAGACTCATTCAAACAAGTGAGAGAGACATCATATATTCACCAAAAACTTTAAGGTTATAGGTGTATAGATTATTTCACTTATAAAGTGTTCAACATTTAATTTTTCAAGTAATGTGGGACTTAAAACCCACACATGTTTTTCAACACAACTCACACTTGTTTCTCAATAATCTCAACCCCCAAGTGTGAGTTCGTCCATTATATTTTTCCTCAAGCAGAAGCTCTTTCATCCACGTGTTTGTACCCCCCCTTGACGGACACCCTTACTCGTCATGGACACTATAATAGAACACGCCTCTTGACCACCACCATATCAAGAAAACTTTCGATACAAGGAATCAATATTTTAATCAAACCAAACTCCGATACCACTGTTGGTTCATCATGAGAGGGAAACATACACATTGGGTCAAAGACTCATCCAAACAAGTGAGAGAGACACCAAATATTCACCCAAAATATTAAGGTGATAGATGTATGGGTCTTCTCACTTATAAAGTGGTCAATCTTCATTTTTCAAGTAATATGTGACTTGGAACTTACACTTATTTTTCAATACAAATCACACTTAAAAAGAAACTAAAATATGATAATTACATTAGCACACTATTATATAATACTACTTTTCACTACGCCAAAAAAGACCTACGAAAGTGCTTTTTTTGGCCTTTAAAAGCGCTTAAAAGCGCTTTCTAAGGTGGTGCTGCTATAGGTTTTAGCAGCGCTTTTTGTTTAATGAAAAGCGCTTTCGTAGGTCTACCTATGACAGCGCTTTTTCTAAAAAGCGCTCTCTTAAGTACCCTTTTGGCAGCGCTTTTTCTAAAAAGCGCTCTCTTAAGTAGGCTTTTGGCAGCGCTTTTTTATGAAGAAACGCTTTCATTGGTGGCGCTTTTTTCTGGAAAAGAGCTTTCATAGGTTGTCTTTTAGCAGCGCTTTTGCCTGAAAAAGCGTTGTCATATGTTTACCTTAGACAGCGCTTTATGTGAAAAAGCGCTGTCATAGGTCTACCTAAGGTAGCGTTTTTCTTCAAAAAGCGCTTTCATAGGGTGTTTTTTTTTTAGATGTATAATTTATATAA